AGTTCATCATCATAGCTTGCTTAAAGAATTAAAATATTTTGATTTTGGCATTACTGGTTCATTATATCAATGGATTCAAGATTTCTGATAGGGAGAGAACAGATTATAAGAATAAGAATAAATGGCTCTACACCAACACCAATTACAGTGAACTCATGTGTACCTCAAGGAACAACCTTAGGTCCAATACTATTTTTAATTTACATAAATGAATTACCATATTGCATTAGTTCTAACAAAACAAAGTCAGATTATTTGCAGATGATTGCATAATATTAAGAACATAAAAACAACACAAGATACAGAAATTTTAGAAAGAGAATATGATGAATTATGGTAATATGGTAATGGGAATCAAATTGGAGCATGTCATTCCACCCAGAAAAATGTTTTTTATGTAGGGTAACAAAAAAAAATAAAACAAATAAATACCACTTATCTTATTCATAATAAACGTTACAAAATAAAAACTCAAAATATCTAGGTGTTATAATAAATAAAAAATTATGGAATCCCCATATCAATGAATTATTATAAAAAATTAAACATTTGGGTTAATTAAAAGAAATTTTTACAAATCAAATAGAACATTAAAAAAAATTTTAGTTAGGCCAATAATAGAATATGCATATTGTGACATGCATTACAGTAACGTATCCTTTAATAGAAAAGATAGTATTTGTCTTTGAAAATGTATGAATCCTACAGAATGAATGTAGGCCTACTGTTACTCAGGGTTTTCTAACTCAAAATTTGGTTAATGATTATTTGTTTTCAGTCACATTTTCTTTCATGGCAGTCTTTTGCATGGCAGACAACTTGACAGAGCAGGTGGAAAGCAGATGTGAATTAAAAAAAAGACCTTAACATGCTGTTTGCAGTCAACTTGACGAGCGGATAGAAAGCAGGTGTGAATATAAAAAAAGACCTCAACATGCTGTTTGCAGTCAACTTGACAAGAGTGGATAGAAAGCAGATGTGAAGTAAATTAAAAAAAAGACCTCAACATGCTGTTTGCAGTCAACTTGACAGGAGGGGATAGTTATCTTCACCACCTGTTTAAAAATGCCTCTCTAAGTATAATGGGGGGAAAAAAGGTTAATAATGCAGAAAACTAAAGAAAGTTTCCTTTGCACAATTTATAATGATTCATGATTATACACTATTTTAAAAATAAAAGAAATAAAGAATATGTTATTGTAATACCAAAATAGGGCCAAACTTAAGTAAGTGGATGCCCCACTGCAGGATTTTTGTGGAGGCCAGTATTTTTCCTAGGCATATCCACGTAGAATTCAGGTCATTAGTACTTATAATGCAATGCACATACTCATTGTGATGCTAGAAATAGATCGGTAGCAGTGTTTTGCTTATTATTAGCCCACAATCTTTGCAGGTCTAAGAGTAACAGGAAAACAGTGTCAGGAACTCTTTCTGTGTGCTGCAGTGTGCATTATCAACAGTAGCGTTCATCACCAGTCGCATTATCTAGAAAAAAAAAAGTTATTTTTTTACAAGGGTGGCTCTAATTTTTGTTTTTGCCTTTAGCCTATAGATATTGAATCTAGAATGAATGTAAATTAAAAAAAAAAAACAGTTAATCTTGTGTCCTTTTTTCTTGACTATTGACAGCTAAGGGTCTGGTGAGCACTGCAAGCTCCCCCTGTGGGGTCTAGGAAGGAGCCTCGACACCAATAGTTTTCATACATTCTTAATTTGCATAAACCCATTCTCCTGACATTAAAGCTGATTATTCATCCTATTAAAAAAAGGCAGGTCAAATTAAGTAAACGTAGGGGGGATACTGATGTTGTGACTTGACATTCGAGGCACAAACAGCATAAGTATATCGTAATATTATATTCATGTTAAACAAGACCTCTTTTAGTCAGCCTGTTTTGGTCAGCAAAAGACGCCATCAAAAATAGGTGGCTTGACTATCCAAATTGCTTCGTTCTATCCTGAATTTGTTTTTTGTTTTTTTGCGTTGAACCTTACCCAGCTCGACCTTTAACTGCCTGAACCTCATCGTTAAGTGCTGTAATCTTTTGCTCCATCTCTACTGTAAGCTGTGACTTCACAGCGGCGATTTCCTCCCTTAACTTACTTCTGAATTCCTCCAGATCTGTTTTCAGACCAGTCGCCATTGCTCGCATTGACCCTCAACATTCTGCCGAGATCAGCCTTCCTTTCAAACTCGCAAGTGTCCGGGTCAAACCCGTCTTCTTTCAAGGCATCTCTTAGAAAGCTAATGAGGGCCTCTTTGTTTCCTGATGCTACGATGTCTCGCCTCTAACTCCTTACGTATTTCATTAATCTGGAGTTCATGTAGGCGTTTAGAAGTAGACATGTTAGTAAGTAGAGTAGGCTCTATTCCGCTTCGACACCAGTTGTTAAGACGTTGGGTTGAACTAAAGAAAATAACTCGACGATTCTTAGAACGCTGGTATTTCTCTTTTGAAGAAACACAATCCAACTATGAACAATCAATATCCCCGATAAAAAGAAATAATGTCACAACCTCCAAATCAAATTTACATATCCTGATTCACTAACACAATAGAAAGCAATCCTCAGTCAAGAAATCCAAACTCATAACTAAAATTTCTTAACACATTTACACACTAGTCAAGGTCATTTACGCCCAATAGCATAAAAAAAAATCACTCTATTTTGCATGTGGAAAAAAAAAGGAAAGGAGTCAGGGAGGAACAGGGTTACAACAATATGTATAGAATCCCCGGCATGTCACCGTAACTTCTTGTAACATCTGCCATCTCAAGAAAGAGTCTACAACTTTAGCATTTCTCAGCACTATCAATGAATTAGCACTTGCAATCAACAACAAGAAACCTGTGACAATTAGTGACAGATTTTTTTTTTACTAAAAATAATTGTGTAATTTCTTCACTAAAATGCAAAGGAAAAAGTATTGGTCTGAAAAGGGGGGGGGGGGACTGCATCTATCCCATGGTCCCCCCTTGTACTGACCAATCTTAACCTCTTTCAATTTATATTTTCATAATAAACAGTTCAGATATCAATATGTATTATAAGCTATTCAACTTATATTGTTCACAAACTATGATTTCTGCATTAAAAATTGGACCCCCCCCCCCCCCCCCAACTAACTCAAAGTGTTTGGGTGGGGAGGGCAATAGATGTAACATGCCAACATATCAGAAGTGGGTGAGAAAATATCAATAAGTAGCATATATCATATAAATAATTCTGTTAAACTGTGATCTCTACAAAAAGAAATTGGATTGCCCCACCCCTTAAAGGGTTGGGGAGAAATTGATGCAATAGCCCCCTCCCCCCAATTCCATCGGCCAACATACTAGTGGGGGGTCGGGACATAAAAATTGTTTAAAATATAAATAATTAATATATATTTTTAACATCAGCCTAAGTAAAGAACTTATATACGTATTGTGTGATTTGTCTTCTAAAATATGCCTGCCCCCTCCTTCGGGAGGTTGGACGAGGCCACCCCTCTCCCAAGGATCCGCCAGTGGTTTGTTGTTCCATTATATGGTCCCTTCATGTCAAAATTATTTATGTTATGAGAATTTTATTCATTAAGAATTTATTAAAAGACTTTACAGTTTGTGTGCGCATGTGTGTTTTTGCATCTGTTCATATTCTCTAATATTATCATTTCATTTTATTTATTCTTTTTCTGTTACATTTTACCAGCGAAATATAAGTAAAATATTGTAGACAAACATCTACCTACTGTACAGAGTTTTTTTCTCAAGTACGGTACCAAAGTGCTACAAATAATCAGAACAGAAAGAGAATTGTAGTCTATAATTTACAAGACAATAAGACGGTTTTCACTACTACATGGAACTTTTTGTTTTGTTTTGAAGACAGTTTGTCTCCCCTTCTAGCCTGTCAATATAAAGGATGGGGGGGGGGGGGGGGGTTTAGGTCATGTCAGGTTGTGTACTGATCTAAGCTGTAATGTGATATCATTGGAAGTCCGGGTGAGAGTACTAGTGTTCTCTACCTGAAATGTATGAGATATTGGACTGGGATAGCTTCATTCATTGTCCATTCATCCTGTTTTCTGGTATGAATCTCACTTGTTATAGTTAACACTATTCATTATATAATTGAAACATTTTTTTTCTTCTTAAATATTCATGTCTTTTTCCTATATAAAAAATGCTTGTTATAAAATGCTATCTAAAACATCAACAAGACATAGATCCTGTCTCCAAAACGTCCCATCGGCGAAACAGCATCGCCAAAACGTCACATACCAGCGCCTTGGATGCTTTACTGTTGCAGGACGTGGTAGCAGGGTACAGCCTCAAAAACATCTTGATGACTTTTAAAAATACATTGGTAGAAACATCGTAATAATAGATTGAAAAGTATAGCATAGCTTGATTTCGAAAATGGAATGTAAAAAAAATATTTTATTATCAGTATTACTATTTGCTAATTCTGAATTTAATTTTTTTTTTGTCTACCTATGATAGTTTAAAGCCCTCTATGAGTTGTGGTCCATTCAGAGTTTATTCCAGTGATGAATTTGTTATGTTTGATGTCGTCACCAATGAAATTAACTCATGGCCAACTGTACCACAAAAAATCGTTCGATACTTCGAAACTGCTGCTTTTTATGTTCCAGCATTTCTTATTTCTCTGTAAGTTTTATAGTCAGTATTTCAAATTTCTACCTAAATTTGATTTTATATTCCAGTATTGTTATCTTTTGTAAGTATACAGCTCTAAATTTATCAGGTTCACAACTATATAAGATATTGGTGTTAACTTAATAACTTTTTAAAGACTTTTTTGTTTTGGCTAGACTATGCTTTAAAACGCTTTAAAACCCTAGAAGCAGATTCATTAAAACTTCATTACTATTCTTTATTTATTAATAGAAACCTTTTCAACATATTACTAAGAGTCTAAATCAATTTTCAGATTATCTATTTACTACTACTTGGCAGTAACAGCAGGTTACAAGAAAATGGAGGAACTTTTAAAAGAACAATTAAAATCAGTTAGTATAGAACAATTTGTTTCTGTCCATTTGAATGTTAGTAATGCCTAGTTAACTTTTGTTCATTATAAATCTCTAATCACTAATAGGATACACTTAAATCAATATTTTTGTTTCTGTATTGCAACATACTGTACTATCTTTGATAAGCTATGTTTTTATCTGGATGGGGTCCAGGAAACTGTTTTTTTTTTCTTCTCTAGGAAGCTCATGATAAACAATTCCTTCTTGCAAGAGTGGATGAAATTATTAAACGAGGACAATGGAGACAAGAAGATTAACTTGACTTTTCAGATAACCAACTTAAATCTACATGCCTGCCTGAGAGGTCTGATCCTACAACAACAGCAATATAACTGATGAAAGGACACACAATTTCTATTTAATAAAGAGCCTACCAAAATTGATTATGCATTGAACTGATGGCACATATAAATATTATATCATACAACATTACAAGAGCCTTGGTGGTTTGGTTTCAAATCCTAAACATTTAAGCTCAAAATTCTCCAGTAATAAATATAAGGAATGGTACTTCAAATATAATGTAATAATAAATGTGGCATGCTAAATAAAGAAAAAATTTGTTCATTTTGTCATCTAATGAATTAATCTTCTAGTGCACACGAACATTTGGTGGATGAAATTATTAAATGAGGGAAATATTGCACATCAAAGTGCACTGAACATAGTATAACTAACTTGTAAGTCATGATAAATTTTAAGGCTCAACATTTATTTGTTATAAATATGTAGAAATGTGGATTTGTAAAAAAAAAAAAAATATTTAAATCTCTTATATTTCAAGTTTTAGTTTGGAAACACATTCTTTTTATTATTCTTACAAACACTGGTGATATAATAAACATCTTTTTTTTTATCATTGCATTAATATACAGTACATTCTTAGTATTATCTGAGATGTATTAATTTGGATGAATTACAAATGTAGGCCTTATTAAACATCAAGAAAATGTGTAAGAATTTTTTCCATATTCTTTGGCTGTCAACTGTTTGATATATCATTAAAATGGCATTAAGCATGGCCATTACCACAGTAAGATCTCTAGTTCTCGCAGCCAACTGTTATCCAAACCTTTCACTACTTACCATTAGGAAAAAAAAAAATTATATTAAAACATCACATTAGAGGAGTATTTTTGGGGTTAAAAAATCCTTTTTCAAAAACACATTCTCTAATAGTGACAAGTTTATCAGAAGTATCCACATCAGTTATAACAACACTGTCTACAACAGGCTTAAAGTATCCTTTGGGTACCCAATATTTTTTACCAGGTACAGTGTTTTTTGGCATATTGTGTGAAAGTGACCCTTTGTTGGAATCACAATCATCAGAAGGAAAATCATAAATGCCATTATCAACTGTCTTTGACCCTACTATAACAGATTTGATTAATGGGATGCTGTCAACTTTAGATTCAGTAGTGGAATCCTTTTTTGATAAATTTTCATTTTCTTTCTCTGAACTTTTTGTGCTAGTTTCATTACTATCAGTGATAGTATTTGTGTAATCAGTTGATCTATTGGTTTGAGAAACTGCACTGCTGGAGGATTTAACCTTGACTGCAGTTTTTTTGGGACCAGGTTTTCTTCCAAGTTTTGGTTTACTGGATTCAAACTTGATTTTTTTACAAGTAGGGATGTAACTTGGATGACTAGGATTTTTTGGTGGACGACCAGGACCTCTTTTTACAGGAACACTATTCTGTGTATCTGATTTAGAACTACCAGCGGGTGTAACTTTCTCTTTCATTTTATCTTGGTCTTTTTCACAACGCGCTGGGCTGATAGAACGATGAGAGTCCTTTTTAGGTTTTGATGCTTCAACACTAGATTCACTAGATTCATCATCCGTACTGCTGCTTGCTTCTGCATCATCATCATTATCATCATCATCATCATCATCGTCTCCATCTGTAGTATTCAGAGTGTTTTCTGCAAGTTCCTGAAAGATATAAAATAAGAATCAATTTATTAAAAAAAGGGAATAAACAACATAGTTGCAATGTGAATATAATACAACCTTTACAGAATGTTAGTTATCAGATGCATATCAAAAGCAGCAGCACTAATAGATAATCAACTATCCAAGAGATAAAGTGTGGGAAGGAAGGAGGAAATATGTTGAGACAAGTTCTAAACTTTTCAACAAAACCACAAGGTTCTGACCTTTAAGAATTGTTAGAGAGCTATATAATGCTTTTTGCATTACTCAAAAAACAATTGTATACAAGTACAGTATTATGAACGTTTTTTAATTTACTAGCTATTATTTATGTTAAAAGAAAAAGTGGCATATTTTCTATGAGAATTTTAAAAAAAGAAAAGAAAAAAAAAGGTATATTTCAAATTATTTTGTTTCATCTATTAACAAATGTTTTATGGAGTTAAGAATTTCTTTAAAAATTAAGGAAACCTCATTAACAAATTTATTTTTGCAGAAATTACAGTTTTAACATTTAGATCTACATAAATGCAAAGAATAAAAAGGGAGCCTTACACTAAGACAATACAAAAATGTATTGAACCAACCTGAAATTTCTTTTTGAACCTCTGTCCTTTTTTGCCACCACCAGAGCTTTCTCTTCTGTCAAAATTAAAATTTTCAAATTTACAAAGCATGCAGTTTATTAAATTAACATAACTGGCATAGGGTTAATAATAATACTAATAATAATCTTTATTGTCCGTATGGAAATTTGTCTTACAATTTGTGCATTACACCAAACAAAAAACATTATAACTATAAGAAACCAAAGTGTACATTCACACCAGACTCATTCATAATTTACATGTGACAGAGTTTATATCAGATTGTTCTTATTTAATGATTTGATTGCCAGGGGAACAAAAGAGTGTTTGTGTCTGTTTGTCTTTGCTATCTGTGTCTTGTATCTCTTTTGTGATGGTAAAATCATAAAATCATGACACAAAGGGTGATTCTTTATTTTGAGGATCTTGTTAGCTTTTTTATAGATGTTTGTCTCAAACAACTGCTCAAATGGGGTTTGTTTTTTGCCAATGATTTTACCAGCAGCATATAGGATTCTATAAAGTTTATTTTTATTTTTAATGCTCAGATTGCCGTACCAGGCAGTGATATTGAAACTTATAATATTGCAGATGTGAACGTGATAAGACATAGCTAAGGCCTTTTCGCTAACATTAAAATAGGACAGTTTTCTCAGTAATCGTAATCTTTGCTGCCCTTTTTTGCTGATATAATCAGTATTTGCAGTAAAATTTAGTTTATTGTCTAGGATAGTACCAAGGTATTTAAAGGTTTGTATTTTTTTTAAAATGGCAATGTCCTCCTTTTTGAGGTGGTGTCCTCCGACCAGCAGCCATTGGACTAAAATATCTGGCTATTTCTATATTGTTTACAGCAATGATATATATTGTCCATTAATCAAATTTAATCTGGTTAAACATCCAAGCTCACTTAAAAATTATGCATTTGCAGGTAACCTAAGCCTAACTTCTAAAGGGATAGAGAAGTGATGTTCAAGCTTATTGGGATTGCAGGCCATTTTAAATCCCAACACTTGTGGGTTTCATCAACAAAAAAGTTTGTTTAAACAAGCGCTTGTAAAACATTCTTATGATCTTTAACTTTTGTTTCCCGAGATCCAGAAGAGCTTCTGTAGGCAAGATGCATCATTCTTTCTTTTGGGTAACAGATATTTAGTTGCTGAAAATTTTATGGAGCAGTACAAGATGCACACTTTTGGTCAAAATCAACATCTTTCCATTGGTATTTGGTGATGAGTTCATTCATATATGAATGATGTTGCATAAAATTGTTAAATCAGACAACCATGAAGGGTAATTCAGTTGAGGAAAAGCTCTGTCATAAAATTTCAATGTCAAGTCTCGAATAAAAAAACCCACATTTTAGTACCTTTCCATTTCACTGTGAAAGAGATCAACTTTGTATTTGAACCCTTTTTCTGACAGAAAATCTTTGAATTTTTTGTGGTCCAATGTCTGAGATTTGATGAAATTTACAGTGGTGAATCAACATTTGGTTCAGATTCAACACATTGCCACAGATATTTTGTTAGAGAATAATGCAACAAACTCCTAATAGGCCTGGTCTCATTTAGGGTGACAACTTTTCTAAATAGTCTTGCTGCCAGTATGCTGTGACATCCAACCATATTTCTGGTGCCATCAGTAGCCATCACTCTCATTTATTTTTCCCATAGAAGCAAAAAATCTTAAGATGGTTGAAACTTTCTTGGACAGGTGTACCTAGTGGTGCTTTCATGCATTATCCTCAAAAGCTCTTCAATGATTTCAAAATTGCTGTTTGTACTAAAAATAATTACCAAGAGTAGAGTGGCATCAGATATATGTTAGTTGACTCATCAGCGACAAAAGAAAACATTTCAAAATTTGCTACTTTGTTTCTTAATATGCAATTGTTACCATTATCTTCTACTTGCATTTGTAATTGTCATGCAAGAAATGCTAGCAGCTTCAACATTTTCTTTTTTTTCAGGACACAATTCCTCCATTACTGCAAGTGATTTCTTTTTTTTATGAATTCGCTGCCAGAAAAATGCCTTTACTTCTTGCTTAAAATGTGAGCAACTATGCAGCTTGCCCTTGCCACCAATTCATTTTGTTTAAAATATTTTCATCGGTCCTCCAATCTACAGAAGTAACTTAGCAATCTTTCCTGTAACTCTTATCAGACTGCAGGTTTTTCTAGAAATTTGTCAACGACTGAGGGTCTGTTACTTGGCAGGGCATAACTTTGTTAAAATACAGTATTTTTTTGGAGTGTCATATATCAAATTGTTTGAAATTGAAAGGTCTTTAAATTTATCTATGTTTGAAATCATTTTAAAATATATTTTTTCTTTTTTTAAGAAATAATTTAGTCATGAAAATTTTTTCCATAATTAAAATTTTATATAATTCACATTCACAAAGAAGACAAAAAATAAACAAATAGATATATGATAATGATATTTACATTTTATTAAAATACATTCAATTCTGTATATAACTGACAAAATGAAGTCAATTCATTGACAAATAAATTTTTTACAAATTTTTGAAAACAATAATCATTTTATAGAAAAAAGATGACATCGACATGATTTTTTACTAGTTAGAAAAAAAAAAAATTTTATTTACTTAAACTTCAAAATTATATTATAAACTATCCAGAAATAGAGTAAAACTTGTTATTAACA